TATCTATCTATCTATCTATCTATCTATCTATCTATCTATCTATCTATTTTTCCTTTAAAGAAAAAAATCAATCTAGCTAGGAATAGTGGGGTACATGTTTTTAATCAAGCACTTGGGAGGCAGAGTCTGTGAGTTCAAGGGCAGCCCAGTCTTCACAGGGAACCAGGGACTGCCAGGGCTACACAGTGAGACTGTCTCAGAAAAAAAAAGAATCTCTATGTAATGATATAATTTAAGATTCATCCTTATCTTTGTAGTAGAGATGATATTTTGGTGTTTACTTCTTCTCTGTGCCCCGCCCAGCACACAAGTTTGCTATGTCTCATTGCTTTGTTTTGCTATTGTGCACAAGCCTGATTTTGTAAGCTCTTCCTTGCTTACCTTCAACCCAGTGGTGTCTGAGCGTGGCTGTGTTTTTCACTATGCTTCCTGAGATACAGCGCCACTGGCACCATACCCACTATGTTCCTCTGGCAAGCCCTGAGAGTTGCTGTTCAGATCACGCTGCTCTTACGCTGTTGAGTCAGTCATTGACCAAGGCTGTTCCGACTGTACTACCCCATATGCTCTCGCCTGCATCTCTTCATCTCGACAGTCAGGAGCATGTTGCCAGAGAGTCTGGGTTACTGTCTGTGGCTCCTGATACTACTGAAGGCCATGCAAATACCTGGAGGCTGGACCCTCACCTGAGGCCAGGTGGGAATCTGAGGGTCAGGCTACAACCAGAGCCATACAGATATGAGTGAGCGACCTGCACTACCACAAGGTGCCATGGTGGCATCCTTGGTGGCACAGGCGGCAGCTGAGGGGCCTGTCTGAGTCCACAGCCCTACTGCAGTCAGGGTCTGTGTTGATGTCCATGTCTCCTGATACCGTTGAAGGCCTTGCCAATGCCAGGGGTCTGGGCTACCACCTGGGGCCATATTGGGGTCCAAGCGTCAAGTACTCTCTGGAGCCATGCCCATCTGAATGGCCTGCACTGCCACCTGGGACCAATATGACATCCAAGCCTGGACTGCTGATGAAGATCATGTCTGGTTCTGTGGTCTGTGTATATGTCCATGGTCTGTGGAGTCACCAGATGTTGCACAGATGCCTGGGGTCTAGGCTGTCACCTGTGGCCAGATTAGAACCTGAGGGCCATGGCAGCCTGAGTGATCTGCCCTGCCACCTCGGTCCATGGTAGCATCCAAGTTCAGCTGCTTCTGGGGACCATGCCTAGGACCATGGTCTTACCACAGTCAAGGTCTGTGGTGTCTGAGGTTCCAGGCACCATCGAAGGCATGCTGATATCAGGGGACATGTTGGTATCTGAGGGCTATGTCGCCACCAGGGCCATAATGACTCTGGCTGTGCTGTCACATGGAAACATGGTATCATCCAGGCCTGGGTGTCATGGTGGGTCATGCCTGGATCCATGACGCAGCAGCAGCCAGAGTCTGGGTTGATATCCATGGCTCCTATTACCACTGATGCCTGAGCAGATGCCTGAGGTTTAGACAGCCACCTGAGACCATGTTGGTGTCTGAAGGCCTTGCTGTCTCTGGGGCCTTACCCATCTGGGTGGTCTGTGCTCCCACTAGGCCCATGGTGACATCCAGGCCTGAGATGCTTCCAGTGGCATGCCTGGGTCCAGGTTCCTGCTACATCTGGGGTTGTATTGATGTCTATGATCTGTGTCACCACAGGGCTTAATAGGAACCATGCATATTGAATTCTAAGGGCTGTGCTGAGCTGGTCCTGCTCCTCACTGGCCCTGGGATAGCTGACCCTGCCCCTCATAGACACTGCAGCAAGAGAGCTTGCTCCACCCTCCATGGGAAAGCAGTCCCCGAAACTTGGGAGAAATGACCCCAATCCTCACTACAGATGTGGCCTCAATGGCAGCCACCTTAATATCTACCCTATCTATGACCTATTGGTATTCATGAAGTGATTAGCCTGTAGCACAATAGCTGCCGGATCTCCAGAACTCAGAGCAACAGCAGGATATCCAGGAAAAGTTTCAGTGAGGGTCCAGGGATGATAATGTGCCAGAGGCCTTGAACCAGACCAAGGCC